GAGAGGGGGTTTAGAGAGAAGGACTCTTAAGGGGGGTCATTGGAAGAGGGAACTCAGAGGGACTAGGGGCTCTCAAAGAGAGGAGAGCAGGAGGTATCAGAGAAGGGGTGTGGCCTCTAGAGGGGGCGGGGCCTCATAGGAGGAAGGAGCTCAGAGAGGGGCCTCAGAGTGGGGGCCTCCAATAGGGGATGGGGACATACCCTTCTTGATGAGTTCCACGGCCTCCTGCCGCTTGTCAATGCCAAGCTTGTCCCACTGCTCAGTGTGGTCCAGGTAGTGTACCGCGATGACCGTGGGCGTCACACTGATCATGGTCCGCTCTCCATAGCCCGAGGGGGTCACAATGAGGTGTTTCAGCCGCTGCCCATCAATGGCCTCCTCTGCCATGTGGGCCACTGGGGTCCCTACAGCCAGGAGGAAGGATGGCGTTCAAGCAATGAGACGCACTATGGGGTGAAGAGGGTTGGGGCTACTCCCAGCCTTCCCAGGCTCCAACCAGCCAGGGCCAAAGAGTCAGGGAGTCAGGGACAGCTGGTGGCTGGAGGCATGTGGCTGAAGGGAGTTAGGGGGGCTGTCCATGGGTCCTCATTGCCACCAGTGGTAAAATAACTCCAGGAACAATGGTCATGAATACGTCTATCATGCTTAATGCCATTTGCCAAGCTCCCTTCTAAGACAACACTATATAGCATCTCATTTAATTTTCCCAACAACGCTCGAAACAGGTACCACTACAGTGGGGCCTTGAAAAATTGAACGAGTGAGACACGTGATGCTGGGCTGATGTTGTGGTTTTCACTTTGATGTTCGCTGAGCCAACTAGTGGTGGGGTATCTGAAGCTGGATCATAACCCGAATTTTAGCTCACAACTCAAAGCAAAAATCGGCCGAGAGACGGCTCGTATCTCGAAAACCTCGTTAGTCGGGACACTCGGAAGTCAAGGCCCCACTCACTGTACTTGCCTTCATCACAGATCAGGAAACCAAGAGTCTCTGTCCCAAACCTAAGAGCTCAGAGGTTGCAAGGGGCTTTGCTAGCTCCTTCCTGTGCCTTCTCCTCCCAGTCCTCCATCCTGGGCAATTCGTTCCAGAATTTCTGTTCTTGAACTCTATCACTTCTCATTGAAGCTTCTTTATCAGCAGAAGCTAAGTACTGCCTGCAGCCTTCTGTGAGCACATCAAGGAGGCTGTTCTAGCACAGGAGAAGGAGAGAGGCGCCATGGTTCAATATTCCTGGCAGTGATGGAACCGGGAGCCCTCTTGGGGGGTCATGGCTCCCACACCTTCCTGGGCCCCATGGGGTTGGACCAAGGCCATCTCACCCTGCAGGAGGATCCTGGTTTCCGACTCTGTGTCAGGGACTTGGTCACTGAGGTCTGCAGCCTCGACCTCCACTCGCTGCACACCGTCTGTCGGTGGAATGGGAGACACCCTTGGCACCAGCCTCCTTTCACCAGACCCTGCACACCACCCAGGCCTCACCCCCACTCCTGCGCTGACTCACTCTGGCCCAGGTGTTGTGGATCCAGTGTCTTAACGGCCACAGTCTTGTTCATTCTGATTCCTTCAGGCTGGACAGTGTTGAGGGAAGGGGGAGTTGGGTGAATACAATACAGACAGAGCCATAGCTGGTCAGCAGGGCATTGTTCTGTGGATTACTGTAGTCTAGATGGCATCTGCCAGTCTTAGCTGTGTGACTAAGAGCCAGTAACTTAACCTCTCTGTGTCTCAGCTTCCTTCCTTATAGGGAGGAGGCAATCCAAACATCTACCTCATACTATTGTATGATATAATAACAACATTATAAATTAATAGCAATAATACAACAAAGCCTTTAGAAATCTTCCTATGTGCCTAGAAGCTTCCTTATTCAGGTTAACTCATTTAGGGTACCGCTATTATCATTCCCATTTTAAAGATGGGGAAACGGGCCCTGGCTGGTGTGGCTCAGTTGGTTGGGCTTATCCCGTACACAGAAAGGTTGCCGGTTTGATTCCAGGTCAGGGCACACCCCCAGTTTCCAGGCTTGATCCCAGGTAGAGGGCATACAGGAAGCAGCTGATGTATATATCACTCTCACATTTTGTTTCTCCCTCACTCTCTCTCCTTTGCTCTCAAAGTCAAATAAAAAAATCTTAAAACCAAACAAAACTCAAACTTATAAAGATGGGGCAACTGGAGAACAGAGAGCTGAAGTAACTTGCCCAGAGTCACACAGCTTGTAGGACAGAACTGGAATGTGAACCTCATAAATGCTATCAAAGTATTTTATTTGAAAATTAGATAAATAAATAAATAAATAAATAAATAAAATATTAGTGATCTTGCTCATGAACTTGTTTTGCTTTAAAATATTTAAAAAATGACAAAAGGAGATTCCTCAAAAAATTAAAAATGGAACTCACATTTGACCCAGTAATCCCACTTCTTGGAATATAAACCAAGAGAAATACCAATCAGAAAGGACATATGAACCCCTATGTTCATAGCAGCACAAGTTACAATATCTAATATTTGGAAACAGCCTAAGTGCCCATCAACAGATGAGTGGATTAAAAAACGGTGGTACATCTACATGTGCATATTAACATAACCACTGGACACGGACACTGCTGTGGTGGGGGCTTGTCCTGGGGGGCAGGAATGGTGGGGGCGGTCAATCGGGGAAAAGGACACATATGTAATACTTTAAACAATAAAAAATAGTGATAAAAATATTCACAAGAGAAAAAATGACCAAAGCCTTTTACTGATGATTCTATCTCTTATTATATTTGAAAGTGTTCCAAACTGTGGGAAACAGTAGTAATGTAACTGTTAATGTATATTTTAAGGCCAAAAATCACAGGTAATGGAACATTTGAGATCTTGTTCCCCAACACATGTTAGTCAGTTTGGCTCAATAAACTCATAGAATTTTAAAAAATTTGAAATCACTGGTAAAAACAGAACTTTGCTGCCTGGTCGGTGTGACTCAGTGTTTGAGTGCTGACACATGAAGCAGGAGGTCAGCGTTCCATTCCAGGTTAGGATGCATGGCTGTGCTGCAGGCTGGATCCCCAGTAGAGGGCGTGCAGGAGGCAGCCAATCAATGATTCTCATCACTGATGTTTCTCTCTTTCTCCCTCTCCCTTCCTCTCTCTGAAATCAATAAAAACATACATTTTCACAAGTAGAACTTTCCTATATCCTATATCATATATTATTACTTTATAAAATTTGGTCTGTGAAATATGTTTCCCCAAAATTTATATAGTCAAAACAAAACTCTTATACTGAAATATGCTACAAAATATCATATTTGATATTAAACTATATTTTAAGGAAAACCATTTTTTATCTTTACTGCTGAGGTTTGGGCACCCCCTTAGAATTTTATGCACAGAAGCATGTCTCCCCTGCCTCACATGGCCCTGCTGTCACACTGCTGGGACTCCTGACTTTCCTAAGCTGAACACGGGCAGCATTAGCGTCTCAGAGCCTGGGGCTCCAAACTGAGTTGACAGCACAAGGAGAGCAAGAGTCCCTCCTGAAGGACAAGCGCCAGCAGGGGCCCCAAGGACTCACCACGACCTTCAGGGTCTTCCTTACACCGTCGGTGATGAAGTACCGATAGACAGTGGCCTTGACCTCTACCTCCTGCAAGCCGACCATCAGAGGCACAATGACATAAGGCACGGCCACTGAGGACTTGGGAGGGATGGTTACAGTCTGCAGGTGACGCTTCTTGGCAGTGGCCAAGCTGCAGAAGGCTGGATTGTAGAGCATTTCTACTCTCACCTGCCAGGGAGAGAGTATCAGGTCAGGGGCATGTGCCATGGGCCCCTCTCCAGGTCTCCCCTCGTGCCTCTCCAGCACCAAGGACCCACCGTGAGTGTATCTGCTTCCCGGTAGTTATAGAGGACGGCTCGTATCTCCACCTGTTCGTTACGAACCACAGAGTAGGGCAACCGCAAGTCGATGAAGAAATCTTGCACCACCGTCACCTCATAGGGGTCAGCCACACAGATCACTGCTTCCAGGCACAGGTCTCCCCTCGTGCCTCTCCTGCTCCAAGGACCCACCGTGAGTGTATCTGCTTCCCGGTAGTTGTAGAGGACGGCTCGGATCTCCACCTGTTCATAACGAACCACAGAGTAGGGCAGCTGCAGGTCGATGAAGAAATCTTGCACCACTGTCACCTCATAGGGGTCAGCCACACAGATCCCTGCCCAGGGAAACAGAACATGAGTGTCAGGGGTAGGGGATGGGCAGGGTGGACAGGGTCCAAGTTCAGCTCCAAGTTCCTGCCTCTCGAGGCTTATACCTGACCACGGGAGCTGTCCCGAGCTCAGCTGGTTTTGGTAGAAGCCCATAGACTGGAGAATGTTGATGGTGATGAATTACAAATGATAGTGGTAGCGGGGTGTTGCCACGATTTAGCGATTTCTTTTGAATTTTACTCAGAGAGAGAGGTGGAGGAGGAAAGCGAGTCAGCCTCACTGAAGGGTCCATCTGTGCTCCCCAAAATGCTAGCCCCCAGCCCCGTGTGGTCACTGGGGACTCCAAGGTGGCTAGCTTGAAGGGGAACTGGATTTCTACTTTTACTTCATTTTAGCTAACTCAGATTTCAATTTCCAAACTAGTGCTTGTGAATATACTGAAATCATAAACTGACCAAGGGTGACTTTTACAGTATGTAAATTATATCCCGATTTTAAAAATGCCATGGGGCAGGTTGGGAGAGGACAATGGGGGAAAAGGGACAAATGTCATACTTTCAACAATAAAGAATTTTTTAAGATGCCCATGGACACAGACAATAGAGTGATAAAGGCCTGGAAGGGGCGGGTACAGGGTGGAGGGGGTCAATGGGGAAAAGACAAACAAACAAAGGGGACATCTGTAAGTCTTTTAAAAATTGATTTAAAAATCTTAAAAACATAACAATAAAAAATGATGCTTGATTTAGTGATTGGAAGACTTTTAAAAGTATGTTTGGAAAAACTTAAATATGTCAATCTGCTTTTTCAACTGCAAAGTTTATGACTCCTAAATTAGAGATCAAAGTGTTTCCCATGAGCCCTAGTCGGTTTGGCTCAGTGGATAGAGCGTCGGCCCACGGACTGAAGGGTCCCGGGTTCGATTCTGTGGAAGGGCACATGCCCACGTTGCTGGCTCGATCCTCAGTGGGGGGCGTGCAGGAGGCAGCCAATTGATGATTCTCTCTCATGGATGTTTCTAACTCTTCCTCCCTCTGCCTTCCTCTCTGAAATCAATAAAAACATTTTTTTTAAAAAAAATCAGCTTTACTTAAATAGCAATGAATTTATTGTTTTAAAATTATTATTAGTGTGATAGTGGTTTTGCAAACTTTTATAAAATGTGGGAACGATAATATTTTGGATATGTTTGGGTGAAATAAAATGTATTCTTGAAATCAATTTCATCATACTCCTTTTTCATGGGGCTACCAGAAATATAAAATAACACACCAGCCCACATTACATCTTTTCCTTCCTTTCTTCCTTCCTTCCTTCCTTCCTTCCTTCCTTCCTTCCTTCCTTCCTTTTTTGTAAAGGCACTATTATAAGGGCTTTACATGTATTAATTCATAACAATCCTCCCAACAATGCTTAGAGTACATGCTATTCTATCCTGTCCATTTTATGGAGAACCATGGAGAGGTTGAGTAGCTTGATTAAGGCCACATAGTGGCTCGAGCTGAGTCATACTGGAGTCCCAGGCAAAAGGAAACTATGTGCCCCTGTGTAAATGCCCAGGTTTTGAGCTCCAAACCCCGTAGAGGACATGCAGGAGGTGGCCCATCCATTTTTTCTCTCAGGGATCTCTCTCTCTCTCTCTCTCTCTCTCTCTCTCTCTCTCTCTCTCTCTCCCCCTCCCCCTTCCTCTCTCTCTCAAATCAATAAAAAGATATTTTTCTTAAATAAGAGAAATTGGCAGAAATTTTCAATCCCTTCAATTAAAAATGAGATAAGCAAAGAAGCAGAATTTTAAAATCTTGAAGTCAGGAAAGTAAAATGATAATAAAGTTTATTATATGTTATAACTAAACAAAATGAGAATACAATATAATAAATTCTGGCTGTGGTATAAATAAAATATTTACACTTAATACACCTGCCTTTTAATGTTTTAATATTTTTTGACAAATTTAACCTTTAAATTATACATAGAACCTGCCCTGGCTCTGGTCTCTGTTTAAAATTGGGATATTTTGTTCATCATAGATATATTTGTACTCACCTTTACTTTAAAAACTACTGCAGTGGGATATTATTTATCTTGATGACTGACTTCTTGGCACCCACTTATATTTTCCACTAAAAGTCGATGCCTTCCTTCCCTCACCCCTCCAGGCCTTGCTATAAATAAACCATCCCCATTTAGCTAGAGCTCCTCGGGTCTCACTCCAGCTGTGGGTGACCAGGGACAGGTAACCTTAATGTCACGCTTCCCAATCTGACCACCGATGTTTCAATCCCCTATTTCATCCTGCTTTCTCCTCTTTCTTATTCAACTTACCCACTATCATGTCGATAGCACCTCCTTAAATTTTTTTGTGGTTGCGAGTTATTCTGTACGATATTGCAATGGTGGACTCATGTCATGGAACATTAGACCAAACCCATAGAATGTACAACACCAAGAGTGAATTCCTACTGCCAGCTATGAACTTGGGGTTTTCACAATTGATTATAAGAAATGCACCGCTGTGGTGGGGGATGTTGACAGTGGGGGCGGCTGTTCATGGGGTTGGGAGTGGCAGAGGGTATATAGGAAATCTCTGTATTTTTTGCTCAAATTTTAAAAATATATGTATTTTTTATTGATTTCAGCGAGGAAGGGTGAGGGAGAGATAGAAGCATCAATGATGAGAGATAATCATTGATCAGCTACCTCCTGTAAGCCCCCTACTGGGGATCAAGCCTAAAACCCAGGCATGTGCCCTTGACTGGAATCGAACCAGGGACCCTTCAGTCTGCAGGCTTACGCTCTATCCATTGAGCCAAACCAGCTAGGGTTTTGCTCCATTTTTAAATAGAATATTTTTTTGTTTTTGTTAATCATCACCTGAGGATATTTTTTCCCACTGATTTTTAGAGAGACTGGAAGGGAAGAGAGACAGAGAGAGAAACATTGTTGTGAGAGAGACACATTCATTGGTTGCCTCCAGCACAGGCCCCAATCCCCTGAAACCAGGGTCTTCACCAGGAAACAAACCAGCCACCTTTTGTTGTACAGGCCGACGCTCCAATCACCTGAGCCAAACTGGCCAGGGCCTTTCTGCTCAATTTTGCTGTGAAACTAAAACTTCTCTAGAAATGAAATCAATTTAAAAAATAAAAAGCACTGCCCAGCCGGCGTAGCGCAGGGGTTGAGCATCAACCCATGCACTACGAGGTCACTGGTTCGATTCCCAGTGAGGGAAGATGTCTGGGTTTGAGCTCCATCCCCAACAGGGGGCATGCAGGAGGCAGCCAGTTGATGTAGATGTTTCTCTCTCATCAATGTTTCTGGTCTCTCTCCCTTCCCCTCTCTCTAAAAAATCACGAACATATTTAAAATAAAATAAAAAGCACTGGCACCCATCTGGACTCTGATGCACCTGCCCCACCCAGTAACCAGGGGATAGAGTGTCAGCCATCAAGAGGGAGAGGAGCTTTGAGATGGATGAGAAACAGAAAATGCCCAGTAGTCCTGGGGCGTGTGAAACCACCACCTCACCTTTCCTGTCAGACAAGCTCACAGCCATGATCTCCCAGGTGGTGATGGAGTCTTTCAGAAACACCTTTATGGTCTTGGAGGAGACTCTAGAAGGAGGAGAAATGGGGGCCTTAGGAGAAGATGTGGTGGAGGGGAGAGCAGGTAATGAGGGGTCCCAAGGGCAGCCTGGAGGTGTGGGTGTGGGCAGGTGGAGGTTTTTCTAGGTTGGGTTGTGGAGTTCCACTATGATTCCAGAAAACAGAGGAGGTTGGGGTGCATGCAAATTAAAATTTCCGGTCCTGAGTGTTGGTAGAAAGTGCCTGGGGGTGGGTTGGAATGAAGGTTGCCTCAGCCTTACCCATTTTTCTCTGGGTCCTTTAACTCCTCGATGGTCCACAGCCAGCTCTCAGGGAGCTGGCTTCTGGAAACGATTTCTTCTTCCGAAATGATCTCCTCATCCAGGTCACCTGTGCAGGTGGGGGGCAAATTGGGTTTAGAGAAGACCCATTTCTCCTGCTGGCCCCATAGATACTCATCTCTATAGCCCTGGAGGGGTTCCTGGCAGCAAAACACACCCATGGACAAATGACGACTTGTCTGTAAGTTAAAGGCCCCCTTTGAGGGCTCCTGCCTCCATAAAAATGTTAAAAGTCATATTTTATACAAGGGCGTTGGTATAAAGGCAAGGATAATGCAGGCTAGGAGAAGTCATTTCCCCTGATTTCCAGAGAAACAAAAGCATTTTCATCAGCTTCTAAAGGTATCCTGACCTCTGGCACGGTGCCTGCTGCATCAGAAGTGACCTTGGTTATGAGAGCAACCAGGTGAGCAGACAGTCTGGACTGATGGAGACCCTGAAGGCCTCTACAGCCAGCTGGGCACCATCAGCAAGTGAACACAGCTGGGCTGGGCGCTCCTCAAAAAATTGTGGGCAGGCTTTAACTTGGCTCTGGGTGTGTCTAACAACAAAGCAGGTGGAATTGCACAGATGCCTAAATCCATTCATACTCTGGGATAATCCACCAAAGTGCTTTTGGCGCTACTAACGTTTAAGCCATCCTCTGTCTCTCCCCCACTTGACTAAAAAACATACACAATACTGAGAATAAATCTCCCCGTGGTGTAAACTACAGCCCGGCAGATCAAAGTTTGGTCTCCCTTCCTCTTTGCAGAAGAAAGTCTGTGTCATGAGTAGAAAGCGGCCTGCCTAGTTGTCATCATTTGCAAAGAGATTGAAGATAGTCTTTTGCACATGTATGTTAGGAATCTTTGTGTCTTTTGTGGGTGGAGGGATGAAGGGGATGTGAGCTTTCTGGCTACAAAAAAATTAGAAATATTTCTTCACTGTGTCAAGAGCTGCCTAAGCCCCACCCCACCAAGAGTAAACATGTTCACAAAAATCACATGTTACCACATAAGGAGTCCATCCATATCTTTTATTTTAAAGGTTAAGTGATATTGATCTTTGGGAACAGCTCTCTTCACTTAAATTTTAAAATATGTTACTGGGGGCATCAAACAGCTCAAGTGGGGGAAAGGTTTTTAACCCGCACAAGTTTGTCTGTGAGTTAAAGGCTGTTTAAAGAAAAAAAGGTCATTATTTTTGCGTTGGTCGCCAGCCAGTCACTGGGCAAGTTTCCCAATCTTCCTTAAGTTTTAAGCAGAAGCATTCTTTTTTGTTACTTTTCATTCCGTAATTGATAACGTAATTTCCCTCAATTTCACAAGCCGCTCACACTTGCCTTTGCCCTTAGAATTAGATCCACACAATTTCCAGTCCCCAGTGATGGGCACCTCCCCCTCCCACCACCACCAGCCCTCAGGCAGGGCACCCCAGACCACAGGACTAACTCCTGGCCAGGCCCAGGTCACTGTCCCGGCTGTGCTTCAGCCGCTGCCTGGTGATGTAGCTGCAGCAGTCCAGGAAGGCGTCCACATAGGCCTTGTCCTGGAGGATGAACTGCGCCCTGGGTACCTCATGGGGTTCTCCCGCATACCGCCCTCACAGCACTTGCGCAGCTCCTTGCTGGGGTACTCACCCGCTGTGGGAACACCCCCCAGTCAAGTCCCCACAGGGCCTCCCAGGGAGGACCTGCCCAGGTCCAGGCCATCCCCTCCTCCCACTTTGCTGGGATCTCAAAGGACAGGGTGTAAGGGTAGGGGAGGCGGATGAGGGCTCCCACCTTTGCCCATCCTCTCCTCCATGAGCTGCACTGAGCGGCGGCGCCGGGTAGCTGGTTTCGGGCATGCCAAATCTGAGGGGCAGGTGGATGGAACAAGATGGGTTAAGCACTGACTGCCTGTCCTTGGTTTACTCCTCACAGTAGCTGCGAGGTGGGAGCGTTACTGCTCCCATTTAACAGATGTGGACACTGAGGCTCAGAGAGGAGAGTGATTTGCTAGTTGGTGGTAGAGGCAGGGCCTGGAACCAAGGTCCCCCCTCCCTGGGTGTCCACTGGCCGACTCCTCACCTGACCGCTGCTCGGTCTGCAGGCCTTTGCTGGTCTGGAAGGCCAGGCCGGCATCCGTAAAGACTCCCGCATAGTTCTTTCCACTGCCCGGTGTGCAGCCAATGTCTGCCTTCTCCACTGTGTCCCAGATCTGCAGGGTCGGGAGGGGGTCGAGGACAGGCTGAGGCCAGGTCAGCAGGGCCTAGGTCACCGCACCAACACATCCACCCAACCTCACTACCATCCTCATCCCAGGCCCAGACACTCCACAGTGGATGATCAGAGTGTGCTGCTGTGGGACTCAGAGCTGTGCCCATTACCATGACCATCCCCAACTAAGACCCTGTCCATTCACATTTCCATCTGCAACTTGAACTGCAACCCTACCCCATGTCTCTGTCCATTTTGACCTCTGCACTCGACCCACACTCAACCTGACGTCACTGGTTGCCCCAGCGCCATTTCCACCTCAACCCAACGCCATCTCTTTGCCTCTGCCATCTTTTACCCAACCTCAGTGACATGGGGACATACCTTTTTCTGAGTCCACCTGTTCTTATTCAGCACAAACACGCCCTTGTCCACGGCTACCAGCCCCACTCGAGCCCCCTGGTTACCCTCAATCTTGAGCGATATCTGTTGTCCAGGTAGATGCTGATGCTTTTCCTCCTCCATGGCACTTTTCACCACCAGCTGTGAGGAGGAGGGAGGGGTAGGCAGGAGAAGTCAGCCCAGCAGGGCCCCAGCCTTGGTCGGTAGAGGACAGAAGGGGACCTGGTCTGGTCTGAAAGGAGAGAAAGGTGGAGACAGAGAGAAAAGAAGAGAAACGCACAAAACCAGCATCAGGTAGAAAGTCAAGGACAGAGAAAATTGGGAGCAAAAGAGATACTGAGACTAAAACGGGGAAGAAAACAAGATAGGAAAGGAGAAGAGAGAGGCAGGAAGTCTACAAGCGGGGGAGAGAAGTGGGTTCAGAAGGACAGATAGAGGCAGAGACAGAGAAAGCCATGGCTGGGCTGAGAGTCACAAGGTGGGCACAGAGATTCAGCAACGCTTACCGTGCCCAGACACGAATCCTTGACATCCACCCACACGGAATCAGCCACCACTTCCCTCTGGCCTCCATTGTTCAGTGTGTAATAGGCCACCAGGCGGAAGGAAGGAATAAACTCTGTCGTGATGGTCAGAGGCAGCACCACCAGGACCTGGCCGGGCTCTCGCACCTGGCGTCCCACCTTCAACAGCTTCCCCTTGTTCATGACCTTGGGAGACAGGTTGGCAGAAGGATCAGGAAGGCAGGAGGAGGATAGGAGGATCTGGAATGGGGTAGGGCTCCGAGGGCTGGAGAAGTGAGGAGCGGGGAGAGCTGAGGGTTGTAGGAAGCCACGCACCAGGTAAGTGAAGTATCGGATATTGGCATCCTGGCCGGGGTCCATTTGCAAAACCAAGTTGACATTGATCATGTCTCCTGGCTTGAGCTCCGTGGCGGGCATGGAGAGGTGCAGGTAGTTGTTGGAGTTGCCCATCGTACTGTAGGGTAGGGCCTGCATTTGATTGGAAGCCTGTCGCCCCTCCGGGAGGCCCTCCTTCATTGTGCGTACCTAGGAGGGAGACAGGGATGCATGCTGCCGACCTGAGATGTCCATGTCCTAACCCCCGGCACCTGGCAATATGGCACCTTGTGTGACAAGAGGGACTTTGCAGATGGGATGGAGTTAAGGATCTGGACATGGGCAGACTATTTTAGGTTACCTAGGCACACTAATGTCATCACAAGGGTCCTTATAAGACACCCATGCAGATGACAGGAGGCCCTGTGTAAATGGCTGGAGGACCCTCTATCCAGACAGCAGGATTCCCATGTGCAGACAAGACTCCTCTATGCCAATGAAACATCTCTATGTGAATGGCAAAATCCATTTATGCAAATGAAAGGACCCCCGCTATGCACATGGTAATAGCCCTTTGTGCAATCATTAGAAGCTGCTGTACAAATAAAGTCCTCTGTTTCCCTGGGGTGGGGTCCTGCTGGTGCAGACTCACAGTGATCAACAGGGGCTTCAGGCTCTTGTGTGTGTTGATGGTGAGCTTAGCCAGGCCATCATCCCGGGTCACAGAATGCACTTGATTGGAGCCCTGAGTGGCCACAGGGATGCGGGGGACAGGGGAGCCATCGGGGTTCGAAACATACACCTGTGAGCGCAGGGAAGGGTGGATGGGGTTC